CAAAATTTATTGCATTAAGCGTGAAATTATAACAGTAAAAACAGAGAAATATATTTGCATCTTCAGCGCCATTAAAATTTAGTTTGCTAAAGAACATGTGAACCATGAATCAACGTGATAAAATCATTATAAAACAACTTTTCAAACACCCATAAAATTCAAACAGCCCATATAGAAACAAAATAAACATGTAGCTTTAAAAAATTATTAAATAAAATAAAAGTATAAACTTTTGCGAAATGTTAATACACAAGAAATTGATCGGATGGGTTGTTTCGAATCATGTAGATCTATCTACATCACTGTGCGGCCTTCAGGGTTGGATCTGGGAAATAAGTAGGTTAAGGCAAAACAGCAGATCCATCACAAGCCGAATGCCAGATCAAGGCAGCGTAAATACAGAGAAGTTCATTATCCCATAGACGTCAACAAGAAAATATTATAATTTATTCTATTGAAATTAGAATTAGGTTTGGTCTTAGATTAAAAAGTGAAAGTTTTATTCATTTGAATATGAGGTAAATATAAAAATCCAACCACATTATTTTATATAATCTTTTTACAGTACATTACAACTACATAAGGTAACAAGTAACAATCAGAAGAAAACAGTTAATAAAATTATAAACAATATTAGAGAAACTACTATTTGACTGTATTGTGAGACACAATGTTAACTGTTTAATTAAGGCTAGTATCATTAGCACCGTCACTGCCACTGGATGGGAGACCTTGGGGGTGTCAGTAGAAGAGAGTCAATAAGATTTCAGTAGAGTGAGGAGTTGTTGAACGTTTGGAGTGGAAAATGTTGGGGTGGTGGTTTGAGGGTGGGATGTGATGTCAGCTGTGCACATCTGACGAAGTATGCGAGCCAAAACTCTACCGTGAGAAACACCAGCAAGAAGGAGATAGTTTAAGGAAGACGCTGATCTTTGACTGAAAGTACGGTCAGTTAGGTAACTGGGAAGGTTGAGGACAGGCAGTATGTAGAGGGAAGTAGGTCCTTGAGGAAAAAACAGCAATCTTTGGCGCCAAACGTGATTGAAAGGCAGGGCCACATCAAGAAAATCCCCTGAACAATACTGTCTCATGTGAGGTTGAACGAAGGCCTTTGGGGAATTTATTATTAGGAGGATTCACTTTAAAAAAAAACCATGCCTTTTTGAAACAATCCAAAGAGACATGTACTTTGCAAATCAAATAATGTGTGAGTGTATGGGGTTTGAGGATAACACAGTTGACGAATTATTTCCAGGATATAAAAAAATAGGTTATTCTTAGGACGGAATCAAATAGGTAGGTAATGAATATTATGGATATTTTGGCAAGGCGTTTCAGAATTTTAAGGATGGAGCTTTGTAAGATTTGAGGTGGCTTATAGCTTCTTCATTCTGACGGATGAAACGGTGGACATTATGATAGACACGATCTCGACGGTTCTCCACTCCGCACCCCCACAGGTGGTGTTCGTATTATAGTCGCCATGGGGTGGGAAATAAGGACATAAAGTCTAAAAAAGGTAAATTGTCGCTTAAAAACGATTATTATTACTTAGAGGGCAATACATCTCGGTAATTTTTGTCGACGGGAGAGGAGGAGAGGTTAATTGCAGAGATACAAAGGATTTTTATTTTTTCACAAAAAAAGTTTAATTTATTGTTAAAATTAACATTTGTTTCCAATGTTTCATGAAATTAATTAAACATATAAAATAAAAAGTAAATGACTTACAATTTGATGTGAGGTAAAATCTCAAGTAACCTTTTGAGCCCTTTCAAATTAAATACTCAAAATAAAATCGTTCTTAATATTTATACAATGAATATTTTCAAATAGTCGATCAAACACCTTCCAAAATCTTTTGACTCACAAATTTAAATATTTTCTACTTATTACAACTAATTACAGTTCAACAACGATCCACTCAAAGCCCGAGCAAAATGGCAACTGATGATCCTTCCCCTCTTTCCTAAAGCCTCCAGCTGACCCATCCACGACGAATCGTATTTGGAGGTTTCCTTATTCGTTTGAAATTTGGAACTTTTAATTGTGATGGGCCACCATCACAAGTTAGGAATTAGGAAAGGGTTAGGATGCTATTAAACCAAGAGTCCGAGAAGAAAGGTAGTTACTCTTTATTTATCTATAAAGTAATCATAGCATGTCGTTCAGAAAAACATAGTAAACAAATAATAAAAAAGTATAAAATAATGTTATATAAGTTAATATTACAACATATAATGTAAACATAACTGCACGATATATATAATATGTGCAACATAACATATAATTGTATATGTAAAGGATATATATGAAATAATTATTCACTGGTCCGTACAAGACAGTCTTGATCTTTATGCTCTTTGAAGACATCTATGCATTTTTGTAATCGTTTTTCCTTCTAAATAAGAAGATAATCCACTCGGAGTTGACTTTTTTATCTCAACCAAAACCTTAATTAATTGAAAAGAGTTTATTTGGTCAAGCGGACCACGAAAACTAGAGAATTTAATAAGTTAACCTGAAGTTTCACTAAGGCTCTCCGTGGCCATTTCATATGTCGCCGAGAACCAAATAGATTACACGACATTTGAAAAATGGCAAAAAGGAGGGAAAATTCAAAAGGTGGGGTTGAGATGGGAATTTGGTGTCCGAGTGGATCGAATTCGCGATAGGTCGTGGTAGAGCAGCGGCATATTTAGCCGAAGGTCGTGGGTTCGAATCTCGCTCGTGACCCTGACTTTTTTAACTCAACCAAAACCGTAATTAATTGAAAATAATTTAGAAAAAAGTTCAATAATCTGATACGCACAATTGGGAGAGATGCGAATTGTCTGTTACTCCATGCGATTTGGCAGAAAAGTGTAATTCGATTTTGTAACTTCAAATAGCTTTTTTTAAAATGAAATTGTTAGATTAAATTAATCTCTATTATACATTTTGGATATAACTAGTGCTTTTAATATTATATTTTTTTATTCCAAAACAAACAGGGATGGAGGCAATTAGACAGACAACTCTGATTTATATTATTTATGTACTTATTTTTTATTTTTCTTAGAAAATTAATTTAATTAACATTTGCATATCAGCAGACCCTCGATATTTTCTTTCATACTTCAGTACTCGTTTGTAATTTTATAATTGTAATTTACTTTTCCAGTTTGCTTATCTATTGTAGATGTTTCATTAGCTGTTGGTGTTTTAATTCAAACAATTAAAAGTAAACTCTGGCAAAATAATGCAGTTATACAACAAATGATAAATCCGGAAACGAAAAATTAGGTGTGAAAAGTAAAGGGATAAAAACCCGAAATTAGACAGGTTGTGTTTTGTAAACGAAGCCGGATTTTACCACCAATGGAAGATGAAGGACACAATAGAATGGGCTAAGATATGCTTAGTAAAATTGTTGCCGAGCAGGACATTGAGCGAGAAAGTCAGTTTGTAGAGATGGTAATAAGAATTTATGTGAAATTAGTGGAGAGAGCTTAATAGTCTTATGACGGAAAACCCGAGTTTTGAGGAACGAGAGGGCCAAAAAATAAAAAGATAGGTGAAGAACTAATGAGGAAGTTGAAGGGAAGCAATTTTAGGATCCAGGGCCTGTCCGGTAAGAGGTTATAAAATTGGACGGAACCAGTCCCTTCTAGTGGAGTTTGTTAAGCAGTCGGATGCTAAAACTGTTTTAAGAAGTTAAAAGAGACAGGACAAAGATTTTAAAAAATTATTTTGAAAGATGGCTTATTGAACTTTAATTAAAAAACCAAAACAAAGGTATTAAATTCGATAAAAAAAATTATTTAGATCTATTAAGGAGAGTTAAGAGAGAGTAGTGATAATTTATTACACCTTTCAAAAAATGGGCATAAGAAAACGGAAGTGCAAAAGAAACGGCAAAAACCTGTTCAATAGAAGAAGAAAATGTAAATGAAGAAGAAGAAAAAGAAGGAGGAAAAGAAAAATAAGAAGGTGGAGGAAGAAAAGAAAAAAAGGAGGAGGATTAAAAGAAAAAGCATCACGTTTATAAATAAAAGTCACTGTCACGAGCGGGATTCGAACCCACGATCTTCGGCTAGGTACGCCGCTGCTCTATCACTTGAGCTATCGCGACTTCGATCACTCGAACTTTTGAATTCCCCTCCTTTTTGCCATTTTTCAAATGACGTGTAATCTTTTTGATTCTCGGCAATGAAATGGCCACGGAGAGCTTTTAGTGAAGATATACTTCATTTAACTTATTAAATTCACTAGTTTTCGTGGTCCGCTTGACCAATTAATATCTCTCAATTAATTAAGGTATCTAGTTGAGATAAAAAGTAGTTCATTTGTCGCCGAGAATCAAATAGATTACACGACATTTGTAAAATGGCAAAATTCACGACAGCTCAAGTGGTAGAGCAGCGGCGTATCTAGCCGAAGATCGTTGGTTCGAATCCCGCTCGTGCCATTGACTTTTTTTTTCAACTAAAAATCTTAATTAATTGTAATATATTAATTGGTCAAGCGGACCACGAAATTAGTGAATTATGTTTAATTTTAAGAAAATTTACACAGCACAGTTCAGCAGACGGTCTTCAATCCATGATNTGTGTAGTTTAATCGAATTAGAAAAGTATATAATTTCTTAGCCCATGCTGATTGGTGAGTTAGTCTTTAAATTTAGGGAAAATATTATTTATTGTATAATTACGCTTTTCGGTGTTTGTCTTTACTTGTTTTGTTCCATATTAAAATGAATTGAAATCAGGGAGAATGAGTAAATTAATACAGCAGACGTTTTAATAAATTTATTGAATGATAAAAAATAAACATTTTCTTTTTTCATGCCTGTTTGAGCAGCACACTGGAGGAAAAAGGCGATCAGAAATGCAAGGCTCGTGCGCCGACCCCATTTGTTATATCAGAATGAGGCTGGCTCTCACCGTCGTATCAGCCATTTCCACCAGATTTGCCGTTCATCGACAAAAGTGACCAATAAGGGTTTTCGACTGTTGCAGAGGTATTTGTCGAGATGGAGGGACTCAATGTCTGCAGCAAGCGGTGGTTGCGTGACGAGGGGAGTTTGCTCGGAGATGGACTTGTCAAGGAGAGGTGCCCCTCCTCCTTGTCGGGCTCTTAGGCACAAGGTGACCACACCGGCTCCCACTGCCCAGAATCAGCCGCACAGTTTCAGCTTGGTTTTCGATCCAGCTGGACGACTCTGCTACTACTGGTCTATGGTCGTCTCGATAGCCTTTTTGTACAATTTTTGGGTCATTATTTACCGTTTCGCGTTCCAAGAGATAAATCGTAAGTGCCAACCGGACTGCGGAAATACCACGTTTGTATGATTTATGCCCATTTTGTTTCAGGTGACTCGATTTTGGTATGGTTTTGTTTGGATTACTTCGCCGACTTCCTGTACCTGGTGGATATACTGTTTCATTTCCGTACGGGGTATCTGGAGGACGGAGTACTTCAAACGGATTCCGGGAAGCTAAGGACTTATTACATGAACTCGACTACGTTCTATATTGATTGCCTATGCCTTCTCCCACTGGACTGCTTGTACCTCTCGATCGGATTCAACTCAATACTGCGCTCGTTCCGTTTGGTGAAAATATATAGGTTTTGGGCTTTTATGGATCGGACTGAACGCCACACGAATTACCCAAACCTTTTCAGATCTACGAGCCTAATCCATTATCTTTTAGTTATATTTCATTGGAACGGTTGTTTGTACAGGATCATTTATAAAAATAACGGGTTTGGTTCGAAAAATTGGGTGTTTGGTGATAGTGATACAGCGGATGTTGTGAATCAATACCTTCAGAGTTATTATTGGTGCACTCTAGCTCTGACGACTATAGGAGATCTTCCGAGGCCGAGGAGTAAAGGAGAGTACGTTTTCGTCATCTTGCAGTTGCTTTTTGGACTACTGCTCTTCGCCACTGTTCTCGGCCATGTCGCCAACATAGTGACAAGTGTTTCTGCAGCGAGGAAGGAGTTTCAAGGTGAGCTTAAAGCCCTAATAATAAATCACAATTCAAATCATTTACACTTGATCAGATCGATACATGATTGAACCCTATGTTGCTTTACGGCCGTACCTTCAGAGTCGTAGTACGGGAAATCCATAGGGTCTAAACTTTCTTAATCTTTGAGATGACTCGATCAAAGGGAAAATGATAAACGACGTCTACCAAAGAGTCCGGTGTCCTTCGAGCAAATCAATTATAAATTATTTTCCCTCTCTTCGCAATACTAGGTGCTGGCTGACACACTAACAAACGATTTCCTCCTTATAGCGTTTACTCGGCCATTATCAAATAATTGCTTTTGGAAATTTGAACTCGACCCGGCAAGAAATTTAAGGTCAGTCAGACAGATTAGTAACCAACCCGAACGAACAAAATATCACCCAGGGTTACCTAATATTGTACACTTACCTTAACACTTCGGCTTAACAATAAAACAATCAAACATACACATTATTTTAAATCCGTAAAGGATAATATTTATGCATAAATAGAAAACTCTTGCAAAATTAAATAAAAACAACACAAACTCTAATTGTCTACAAAAACGTACTATTAAATGAAAATAATTGGCTGCTCCCTCTCTCTTTTACGAAATTCAATTAATACCACCAACATTGCTTTACTCTTGGAAAACCTCTTCCAACAATTGAACTCACGTCATGAACAGCAACTACTGAAGATTCAGACAGCTGAAAATACGAAATACTTCCAATAATTAAAGGTTTTGGATTTTAACACTCGCCCTTTCAAAAATATGTCAATTTTTATAGCATATATTTCACGGCATACCAAAAACATTATTAAATTTACAGTTAATATAATTGAGTTGTCCATATTCAATACGCTTCAATATATCTATGTAATTGAGTGGTCCGAAACGAAATATCTACAAAAGGAACCCAAAAATGGCGTAGTCAACATAAAACGGGAACGCGGAGGCAAATGCATGACTAAACAGGGACATAAAACAAATTAAACCATACGAAAATTTCCTAGCACCAACACTGAAGAATAAATGTGTTGATTAGTGACCGTTAATCGATAATTACTCTTATTCTTAATTACTGACGAATAAGAAACGCGTCTAATAGTTCAATCCAGTTAGGATAGGCAGACAAAAATGTTTGGAAACGACCAAACCACACGTTCATTACTCCACAGATAACGTGGAGAAATCTCGCAATTAATATTGAATAAATTCTTTTTAGTGGTAAGAATTAAAGAAAAATTAAGAATATTGTTTGCTGCGTAAATAAATCGTTCAAACTCGTGCACGTTATTCACGTGATGATTGTAATTTGTATGACCGTGTGATAATACAAAAACAAATTACGGCCCTGGTATGCCATGAAACCGTTGTTTGAGATGTGCAAGATCAAATAGACTATCCGGCAGCTTATAATACCTCTTCACAAGTGAGTTGAAAGTAAAATCAACTTGCTTTACTAGAAAATTTTATTATTGTGCATGTCATGTGAGATTCATGCTTTCTTTATGTGAGAAAAATCATTCGCTCGAAAACATGGCCAGGTCCACAACGTGTAACTGACATATCAAAGATTCAAAATATATGCTCCCACTATTGATCCCTGCTGTAGTTGATATATCAGCACCGCATTGGTATAACAGTAGCTAACGGTTCTCCGTATTTTTACTACAACAAAAATATTTTGCAAAATAATTTCTATCAAATACTATTAAAAATAGCGATACGTGGATGAAATGGATGTACAATATTTCGAACAAAATTTCAAATCCGTTGAATACAATTAACTGTTTAGAAAGGTCATGCAGAAAAACATCCTAAGTAAACAATTTATCTTTTTACTTCTAGTTTATATCCTTTTTTTAAAAAGATAGTTCCTACTCACAGTAAGTGTTTTGCAACGATCCGGATTTCGAGCCTTTTAGCTCATCATCAGGTTGAAGGATTTCTACAACTACGTCTCTCGACATGAATTGCTATAGTGAACCGCTGATACCTCCGCCAACGCGACGTTCCAATTAGCAGCTGATTTTTTTAATGGCGTTCAATTTGAACGTGCGAAACGCGGAAATTATAACACAAATAAATATTATACTTAATATTATTAAATTACTATAAAAATAATAGCAATTAAAATAAATTAGTTTAATTATTTGGATGTTTGATGTTATTTATGTACATATGTAAAATGGGAGGTAGATCAAAATCTGTTATATTATTAATGCATTTATCACCATGATAAATTTTACATTTTTTAATTTCAAATTTTTCAAACCAATCTAGTTCTTTCCCTTTGTTGAAACTATGTAACACTCTTGTATTTAGATTTTAATTGAAATTATGTTTTGTTTCTTTTTGATGGTCCTTAAATTCCGAAAATTTGGTCGATTTAGGCAAAGGCAAAAAGCGGGGTTTACCAACTCAATTGTAATTAATGTGATATTAAATATATAGGACAAAGCGGTAGAGAAATAAAAACAAGAGTAAAAGAACACTTGTCTAAATCGACCAAATTTTCGGAATTTAAGGACCAACTAAAAGAAACAAAACATAATTTCAATTCAAATCTAAATACAAGAGTGTTACATAGTTTCAACAAAGGGAAAGAATTAGATTGGTTTGAGAAATTTGAAATTAAAAAATGTAAAATTGAACATGGTGATAAATGCATTAATAATATAACAGATTTTGATCTACCTCCCATTTTAAATATGTACATAAATAATATCAAACATCCAAATAATTAAACTAATTATTTTAATTGTTATTATTTTTATAGTAATTTAATAATATTAAGTATTTACTAGTATAATATTTATTTGTGTTATAATTTCCGCGTTTCGCACGTTCAAATTGAGCGCCATTAAAAAAATCAGCTGCTAATTGAAACGTCGCGTTGGCGGCGGTATCAACGGTTCACTCTGGCAATTCATGTCGAGAGACGTGGTTGTAGAAGTCCTTCAACCTGATGATGAGCTAAAAGGCTCGAAATCCGGATAGTTGCAAAACAACTTACTGTGAGTAGGAACTATCTTTTTAAAAAAGGATTGAACACCACACTCACTCCATCATTTATCATTTCTAGTTTATATGTTTGCCATGAGCAAAAACTTTAGGACCGAAAATTTTTTGACCTGCAAAACCCAACAAACTTTATACGAAAAATTACTGCGAATAATTTTAACATAGTGAACTGTGAAGTTCCGCTAGGCCACACAATATCCAACGCCCCTTTTAATCTAGTCCTAAGACACAGTTAAAGCTTTTTACTACGTGACTAACCTCAGTGTCCACAACGACCTCAACATTCCTTTTTTCAACGAACTGATCCATTCCCCCGTCTCCATTCCACACCAATCACTCAATCTATCCTAGCTCTACTTTCAAACCCTATCTACACGTTTTCTTTTCGAGAACCCTCCACGTCGCCTTAAACGACACCTCACCCCTTAATCTGTTACATTGAGTGCTAGCATGGCTGGCTTCTAGTGTAATAAAATGTGCCGTACTTCATCCGGGTGCAGTGCTAGCATTTCATTTTTAGTTGCTAGTTGCTAACACATATGTGGCAAACGCTGTAGCACCTCTCAACACACGTACCGGGTCAATGCGATTTGTAAATATGTATCAAAACACTACATAATATATAATAATGTACAGATGGTAATAAATAGTATTTCTTTTAAAAACATTACTAAAAGTATAATCTTTTATTACACTATACAACAATCATTTTATTTATAACAAATTTTATCGCAGCTTTGTTTCTATAATATTTAATTTAGATATTATAAAAAAAAAATAAAAAAATCAAGAATTTTTGCTTAAAGCGCAGAGGACCGGTGATGAGCACATGATGTTTGTCGGCTCATAAATTATTAATACAATACAATACAATTTAATTTTTTTTTTTTTTTACTCACTTTTCGAACCGTACTAGGATTAAATTTAATTTTGATCAAAAGCAGCTCATTTTTTATTACCTTTAGTCCCCATATGATTAGCTTCTGCACATGATATTACATTCGATTTTATTAAACATTTGTTAAATAATTAATTTGGGGGACAAACTTCAGCGAGTCTTCTACGAGCATATTGAAAGAAAATTCGTTTAGGTTGAAACTGCTGTCTGATCACATTACGTGATTGTTTCCAAAGAAACTCATAATATTTTCCTTCCGTCGACGAAGTACACTTTTCCTTTAATTGCAAAAGTACAATTTCATTTTTGTGTTTAAGAAAAAAACTGTAAGAAATCCAATTACACAAAGTGACTTGTGAAAGCAACGGGCTAAGTGTCTTAACTAGCTAAAAGGTGGAACTTGCTGAGATGTCCATGAAACAAATGAGAATTCTAACACAACGGGGCTAAAAATCCCATTTTGAAATGGTTTTAATTATTACCGTTTACATATTATCCAGCAATAATATAATTAGCGTCATGTATAGAGAACATTATCATAGTATAACTACTTTATGGAAATTATAAAAATAGAAATTATAAATGATGGGGTGAGTGTGGAGTTCGATCCTTTTGAAAAAAGTAACCCCAACTACTTTATGTCCACGGCTGTACTTCACATATCTTAACAGTCAAATAAAGATTACTTTTGTTGGTGGTGGGATAGCGAATTTAAAGATAGGCCAGAAGAGATTTTCAAAATAAAAACCCCGGCGTTTTAAATTTTAATTAAAGTTATTTTTAAATTTCCATCTCTATTTTTACATTAATTTTTTTGAATGTTTTTGAAAAGTACACCCATCATCTGCTTCTTATTTTTTTATGATGAGTGTTAATTCCTGAAACGTCCAAAAAACCTGATGTAAAATAAAGCAGCAAAAAAGTGAAATGTTCTTGTTTTAAAAAAAAACTCGACAAATTTTAAATATCGAACAATAAGTCATTAAAAATCAATTTTACATAATAGAAATTATAAATTAAATTTGTAATTTATTTTATTACGTTATTTCTACGGTATAATAAATT